GGCCTCCAAAATTCTCTAGGCACAATCAGAGCTTTTCAGTATTTGGAACACGTAGACAATTCAGGATACAATGATTAGAGTAGTTTAAAAACTATGATATAAATTTACAACTAATCAAGCATCACTTAGGAAGCGCTTTTTTATCCTGTAAAATAATTCAAAATGTAACGAATTAGCTTATTAGAAGCCTTACCAGCTACCGAGATGACAAATACGGTTTTCACTGAGGGGAAAGATACCCGGAAGAAAGAAAATCTTCTAGATAAATATGCAGCAAGTTCTCTATATTGTGTGTATATATAATACCTATACAGTACCATTGTACGAAATATGCCATTTTCTTACTTCATTTACTTACTACAGACAAACTGAACCGAATTTTAGGCTAGTTAAAATCAAATGAGATTGATTTTCACCGAGCTTAATAATAACTGAGCTCATGCTATTTTAACATTCATCTTAATACACTGAATTAAAAAAGAATTTCTCTATATACTAAATTTAGTTTTATAATTTTCATTTTATATATATATATATATATATATATATATATATATATATATATATATATAATAAGATAATTTCAGGACGTAGTTGCAATTCGAGTGCGCCTTTATTTAAAAAAGAGATAAACATGGCGATCTACAAGTATGTACAAATACAAACTGTTCTAGAAAACTAACGATACAATAGTATTGAATTGCGTTTAAAAATACTTCTGTATACTCTATTCCGTATGCAAGTTCTATTCATGCTCTAACTATGCTCTAGGAGAGGGTATCATTCAACCGTACCGGCCATAAGCATGAAAACCGTTCTACCATTCCATAAAATGCTGTCACTTATATTTTGAATGTAAATAAAACATATCGACATAATAGTATTATCTATATAGTGAAACCTATATATGTGAGTATTTTTTTGTTATTCTGGTAAAGAATTGATTGTTTAAAGTATTGCTTTCCTCCTAAAGGTCTTCATGACTATGCGCGGGCCCTTACCTCAAAGCAATATGTGAGCGTAAAAATAATTGAATTATTTTCACCTTAGATTTTTTACAATGTACACAAAAATCAGATACGTCGAACCCAACATATCCAGACACGCTATTTTCCTGCTTGGCAAATCTGTGTAAGTCAAGTGTTGCCTAAATCTAGCAGGATCATGATTCCTAAGTAGCTCCTTATTAGAAGTACTTTATGTTGCTATTGCCTGAACAGATAAAAAAATCTATAATTATCTTCTTAATGCTCTATTTCTGAAATAAACTCAATTAAACATATGTTACAAAATCCGTTCGGGACGCGCCCAGTCCAAATGATACACTTACCAGGGGGATTTCAACACGGCAGCTGAATCGCAAGGTTTTAAGACTACGTACAGAAGAGAGGAAGCATTATTATTAGAGTGGGTCACTGCAAACAACCTAGCGTTAATGAACCAACCCCAAACAGCAAATGGAAGTCCTTTTTAGACCTTATCATTGCATACACAAGTCTGGTTGGAACAGTCATTGAATAACAAGCTTTCGAAGAAATCACACTTAGAATTTTCCTAGTAAAGGATGCACTACAGACAAACTTTTTCAACAAGAGGTCCAAACTGAAAAACTGAAAAGTTCTGAATGAAGTACTACAAACCGCTTACGACAAAACACACCCATAGAAGACAACAAGAACTCCATAAAGCACCCTACGAGGTTTGCTCGCTGGCCAGTTATCGTAGCACATATCCCAGAAGAACAAAGCCAGTAAAACTAAAATACTGCTAAACTGGGGTTACTGCCTCTGTTAGAAGAGTGAGTTGCAAGTTCGCAGGGCCGTCAAAAGCGTGAAAGTATTAGTAACTGGCTGGTGACGGCATATCAACAACTGTGAAACATTCTTGAACCCTTCATTACGGACAACAAAAGAATCCTAAGAAGAGATACTCAAAGAGATTAACGAAGACCTGGTGAAACCGCCCATGCAAAATCATCAGAGGCAAAACGAAAACGCCTCTGTGTGTGATATCTATGAGGAGAAGAAAATTCACATTCTGCATTCTCCTAGCATAAAAACAGATGTATCACATATGAACAAATAAGCATTGACAGAATGCAGGTTATACACCACCCATTAACGGGGTGAGGAACGCTGCCAACCTCGTAACAAACCTACCATCCAATGGTGCTGGTAACTCATTGGTACATCTCTGCATCACACCCCTTACAGTAAGAATGGTGGCTTGCTTGCTTAACTAAGATCAGCATCTGCGAGGGAATCTCTATTGCTTGTCTCAATATTCTGAGTGTACCACGTTTACCTTTTTAGCCGAAAGGATGCGTTATGGTGCACATTACCATCACACCATAATCGTCAGAATACCGTTTTTTATTCTACTTACTCCCCGACCTCCCATACATGCTATCAGCTATTTATGATATATGGATAATAAACATTAATCCTCACATCTTAAATTGGCGCCAAAGATTTGGCACGGCAATGGAGAAACGATTCGAGAAGCTCGCAAAAGAATTCGGTCTGCTCTTTCACGTGCAATACGGCATGTCAACAAATCATTGCGAAACGGATGACTAAGAAAGCTGAGTCGGCACACAACTTCACTCCGAGGATCCGCAAGATCTCTTTGGCAATTTATATGTCAAATGCTCTAAATAAAGTTCAATGGAGAATAATCCTCAGCTCAATGATTAGGAAAGGCCTTTCGTACCTTTATTCGTACATCTATCTACCTATAAGACATGAAGATCATAAGTACGGAAATGGATATGAACGCTCCAAAAAGATCTACTTTGTTTAGGCCCTTCTCATGGGAGTAAAGATGAAATACAAACCGTGTCTAGATAATGATAGCTGTCTGTCCTGGCAATTGAAGTGAATAAGACTCTGCATGCCGTTTCAAACTGCATGTCAAAAAGAGGCCTAGAATTGGCTCTGAAGAAAAATGGTGGAAAAAAGGTACGGCTAAGCGGCGGTAATTTTTTTATAAACGTTCAACAGACCTAAGTGGTAAACGGTGCAAAATATGTGGGAGTGTATTTAGATAAATTACTTAATGGTAGTTTACTATAAGGGGGTCTAAAGCGAGCAAAGCGGCGAATTCGGTTGTGAGGATATTTTTAACCACTGAGGGAACAACATAGCGGAATCTGCTAACATTGGTTATAGAATCGATCTTTCCACTCAGAGTTTTAATGTAGATGAAGAAAGTACGAAACACGAAGAAGAAAAGGAATCTATTTTGCAATGGCTACACTCCGCATTATACAAGCATATCGTGCGGTCAGCACCTTTGCAGCACTGGTTATAGCTAAGACACCGCCCTGGGATCTAAAAATTAGAGAAAGGAAACACCCGTAGGAAAAAATTAGCAGATCTGATTAACCTTTGGTTAAAAATAGCTGAGGTGAAGTAGCAAAACCTGGCGATAAAGAAGGTGAAGTACTTCATTCTGGTGTCCACGTCATCTGCCTTAGAACACACGGACCTCCTAGCACGAGCTTTGAGGAAAGTAACACTTTTGAAAGACACAGCTACAAATTTTTCAAGTTTTAGGTCCTTTACTGCTATTAAGCATTGTTCCAGATGCTGGCTTCCAGCACGAAAGAAAATGTGTCTACGCTCTCTTTTAAACCGACTCCGCCTCATGTAACCCTAAGTTTAGTAAACTTTCGCGGAGATAATTATATCACTCCGAAATCCCCATAGTTCGATGCAGCGTTCGATATATAATGAGGTCTTGACAAATAATTACCTGTTACTACGCTTGGCTGAAGCAGATAGTCCAAAATTATTATTGGAAAAGTTAGGCTCGTACTTAACTAATTAATCGGCTATATAGCAAACTAATCTAAACTTGAAGTATCACGCTTAATCTGGCTAAGAACAATAGTGTCGGTATTGTAGCTTAATCGTTTCATACTTTTAAGCTGTCAAGGCACTACAGTTCACAGCTGGTAGCTCTAATTAAATAGCTTACTGTTTCGTATCAGCGTTCTCAGATTCTTTCTTTAATACTACTAGATACTCCTTTTCTTGGCAGCCAGTTCATATCCATCGTGAGTATCAAAGAACTTCCATTTCTGAATCTTGGTCTGAAATCGAATTATCAAACATAACAGGAGATCGCCAGACATTTTAACAATTAGTTGCATTATTGCGCTCTAGAGACTCAAAATGTGCTGAATCAGTTGTTTGATACTGCTTGTAGTATCGCGATGACAAGCTAGATAGTTAGCCTAAATTCAATACAATCGAGTCATTTTTGAAACGGTTTACCCTTGGTTGTTTCATGTTATTTAGTTTTTGCGCATGCAACGCAATATTCGTAACGAGCAGAATTTGGTGCTAGAATTTTAAGACATTTTGAGTGTCCCGAGCTTGGTACTCATTACGCGCACTATCGATTTGTTCGCAATTTAATATACTACCATAATAAAATAGTTGTTTATCGATACGAAGTTCCGGTTAAACAAAATATAGGGCAAATGGACTAAGCCCAAATTATCTTGCCAAAGGAAAATATTAAATTTATGCGGTGACATCCGTAAGTGATTGACAACTATGAGTGGTTATTAACTTTCGTGATAAATCGTCGTTTATAATTTATTTTGTATAAATATATATATATTAGCATGTCGACACCTCCAAATTCATTATTTGAACAGTATTGGGCGTCACAGATACCGTAAAAATTTAGAGGAGAAAGCCCTTGGAGACGGTTTGTGTCACACAATAAAAATACTGTTCTAGAATATATAAAAAATAACCTGAAGTATAGTAAAACTATCCAAGAGGTAGAAGCTTTCTTGAGCAAAATGTCCATCTTCGAGAAAATCCTTAAAAAACAGAGCCTTCTTAAAACTCTTTAACTTAAGTTAAAATCCGGAAAAAAGTTCGACAGAAATATGGATAACACAAGGCGCCTATGAAAAAAAAGCTTTTATTATATGTCATATGAAATTATATGTCATTTAGGAATTTTTATCAGTGGTTTGGCAGATGTTTGAACTGATCAATGCATCTCTTAGATTAGAATTCCACCTCAAATCGCAGTGCTCCATAGCTGTAAACGAGAATCGAAAGATCCGCGATTGACTTTAAACGATCTAAAGAGTGGCATCATTTTTTTTTCGACATACACATGTTTGCACACATTGAAAATTTAAAAAAAAGTACCATTTTTTTCCCTACTAGAGATAAAGCCTATTACTTCGATTTTCCTAATGAGCAATGCAAAATCCTTATCATAAAAGGAATATAATAAAGAAAATCATAGGATGCAGGGCTGCAATATAATAATCAAATAAAAAGAGTTTGCAATGTGAAATTTTCTCATTGATTAGTGATTTAATCATTTTCTATCCTCATGTTGTCAGAATGTTAGAGCTTTAGAGCCACTGAAACTCATAATTCCTCATAATAAGTTTTTTTTGATATTTTAATATCTATAATTCGATTTGAAAGCCCAGTTTTAGAGAAAAATAACAGTCTTACAAGTAGTTAAACCGAACTTCTAATCAGGTTCCTAGACAATGAGCTTGAAATTAGGAAAAGTATTGCCTGGTCTAACAGACGGTCTATCGAACAGTGCATGCTATACACTAACCTTCATCATCAGAACTCTTGACAGTAATAGCTGTCGGTTTAACATTCAGTAAAGGCATTAAAAGCAAAAATTTTGATAATATTATGCAAAAGTTGAACAAGAAATACGCATTGTAAGTTAACACATTGTCAGTAAATCATCCTCTCATTTTTGCGAAGAGAAGCATCGTAGCGCAGAATGCAAAAATCTTTCAACGAAATGAGAAAAAACCATATGCTATTACCGAAAATGCTCACTTCTCGTATTTGAAGAGCAGCCACCCAGTGGATAATTACTGTATTCATTAGTCGTACTCCTTATAATATACAGGCAGACTCTCTATTACCTCTAGGAGCAAAACCAATAAGTCATGCGTTTAGCTTTATGAATTTTTAATTAATCCATAGACAACTAAAATCTTCGATATTATAGGCAAGGTGTATGCAATGATTGATGGCAAAAAAAGATTTAAGATCATTCTAGACACCGATACAATAAGGGGTTATAGAATAAAGGGTTTAGTTAGATCTTTGTCGAACATCCTGTGAGATTAATGGTGCGCTGGCGGCGTCACCATGTGTTACTTAGAAGAGCTTCGGAGCCGTATTAACACCACTTACTGCTGCTTGTGTTCTTATCTTTGAAGGAAGAGTACAAATCGTACATTATATTCATGGAAAACACGAAAATTGTCTGATGCAGTCTTACAAACATTAATAAACTTGCCATATTAGATCGCAGTGAGTAGCGAATTATTATAAATCATGTTTACAATTACACTTATAATTTCTTTTATTTACTTCTCGAACTGATCCATTTTCGTTTCGAATTGGCGGAAAGTGAACAAGATTTCTATAAGGCTCGCCAGTCACTACCACAGACTCCCGACTAAAAATTCTATTTTCTCCGATCTTAGTAGTTTTAGCGTAGTCATACAATTACTTCCGAACTTGCAATCAAGGATATACCATCCTAATGTGGTGCTATAAAAAAAGGACTCAGTGCCAAGGTTTTGTCAAAAAACTGGATGTCATGCGGAGCTAATATCGACTCCGTCGAGCTGTCTATCTAATATTGTCCTACGATGATCCTCGAAACGACTGAAATCGCTTCAACAACGCCTATGGCATAAGCTCACTAGAGTGGGATTAGTATATGACCCGTACTGCTAATAAACCTTCGCTGTGCAAAACAAGCAAACTTTGTAAGGCCGATAGTCCCAAAGCAAGCAAAATTTGTAGACCTTCTTAAACGGGAATACTGTGTCGCGCTGATAATTTGGTGGCTTTGTGTCCGTGGCTCAATCTGTGCCACATGAATGACTCATTCATTTTACGCTACATAAATGACTTTGTGTACATAACCTAGTAATTCTGAACGCCTCAGCTACCGCATAATTCACTGTCCTATTATTGCTGTATGTCCACGCCTGTCAAGCATAGCCCAAACAGACTACTCCTTTTGAGTTCCCAAACTAACAAGATTGTGGCCTTCACTGGGCACCTGTGACTGAAGATCTATGTAGCGGTATCAGACTCAGCGTGTTGCGTGGAAAGACGACGCGATTTAAAAATGAATTTATGACACGAGAAAATAGGGCCAATTTTCACTCGGCCGTATAAGTAAAGCATCATTATCTAGTAGAGGGTACAGAAGAATATCTGAAACAAATTGTGAAATTAGATGAGCAACTCTAAGCTTATCTGCCTTTTTGTCCTTCTGACGGAGGAAAGGGTCTGAAAAAGGCACATGTTATGGACCAACTACGATACAGCTTGTGGCGAATGCAGCGGCTATAGGCTATTAGATTTAACGTGCGACCAAACAAACCAATCCGAAGCATGCACCCAATCGGCTATACTGGGTCGTTCGAATCAGATCAACAACAGATTAAGGATTTCCATTCGTTCTTGATGTACCACCGTCGCTCCTGACTAATATCTAGCCAGAACCATTCGCTAGATAGCAGATGTCGTACCAGTCGCTCCAATTACAATTCAACGCATATATGGAATGACGGTCAACAGGGGTCTATGCCAACAAGTGAATCGCCTTGACTGAACTACAGTGGGCTTTCAAAAAAACTGGTACAAACAACGAAACGAACTACAACTGGATTTTCACTATGGCAAAGAAGTGAATTCTAGTTAAGCTAGAGAATCTACCAGCTATGTGAAGATAATGACAAGGGACATCTACAATTATCGACAATTGCTGAATTCCGTATAGCCCAGCTTAATATTGAAATGCCGAGACCTGTCAGTACTAAGCTGGACTGTGGTACCGTTCACCGTGCTTTTAAAATTGGAATATAGAAGTTGTCGGGATCAGCTAATTAACGCAAACGGCGCGGCTAACCTTCATCAAACTCCATTAGATCTACCAAAGGAACAAGAACCAAGAGGCAGCAGAAGTCGTGGTCACTCGTGTGCGTTGATCTACCGAGCATCGCGAATAGATGCCACTCCTTTGAAAGATATAGTTGGTCGCAAACAAAGAAGGTTTAGAAGAGGCACAACGGAGCGGAGTTTCATCGGTATGAACACCTAGCATCTATAATGACCGTAACTGTTTCAAACAAGTAATCGACAGACCCGATTTCTGCTTAACTGACTATTCTAACTAGAACGAGCACTTACAGTCAGTAGGCGCAGCGAAAGAGATCTCAACAACAACCGCGTTTTTCTGCAAAGAAACGTCTCATTATACGCCACAGTTCACCAATAGTTATAACTATTATTTTCACTATTTTCACCATTCTTACTCCCGCTGATCCATGTTATCTTGGTGATTCTAACCCCAAGTTGATAGCTGTGCCTATGCATACCGATCGGTTTATAACATTATATACAACCAGGTGACGCGCGTGGTTAACATAAGGTGGTCGCTGCTGAAAGTCGCTTTGGATGGGTTATTGCGAATAAGGTGTAAACAATACGAACAGGCAATACCCTTCTAACTTAGTCTGTTTCTCTGCAGTTATCTATTAGGATACATGAGATGTCAAGCGTTATTGGTAGGTGGAAGTAATCGGCGTCGAGAATTCGCTTGATAGCAGATTGTCGGCTGAGGTGGACGGTCGTGTACGGTGACGATGCTCAGGCTTACTTCTATTTTCATGTTGGTAAATAATTTTAACACAGCTCATCGCTGTTTGCCTTCAAAACGAAGGGTACTAATTTATAACACCAAAACTTCTGAACAATACGATACCGAGATAATGTCAGCCAAAGTTACACGTTCCCAACTATTGGTCTTAACTTTTGTTGGCCTTTTCATATTCGATCTTGGAGTGGTGCATTAAAAACGCACATCGCACTCTCCGGGCGGTTCACTACGAATTTGTTCTTGCGGTATGAAACCCCGATGCTCACCTGGCTCTATGACGGGTCCTTGCCAGTGACCCGGGCTGTATTAACTTGACCAACGACTAACGACCAACCAGCGGACGTCGCTGCTGGGATCAAATGGCCATTCAGCTTAGCTTATCACCCTTTTTTTGCACGTTGTTAGCTCGTGTGCGTTGGGAGTTTGTCTGCTCGCAAGCCCCGTAGGCTGCTAATCTTTGGGAAAAATTTATTGGTACGATGAAGGGTGCTTCGTTATTTAGGAGTACAATGGTTTATAGGCTCGTCACCGTTATCGATGATGGCCTAATCACATATTCGTCAGCAGCCTTAGCTCACTGTTGCCTTTGACGCTCGCACAGTCTATTCACGGCGGCACGGTCAAGCCGGCGCTTGTCTCAGTCACTTTGCAAGGCCGCGCCGGCACAGAAATCATTAAGGCAGCGTCGTCATTAGATTTGCACCAGACGTTAGAACAAACCAGTTAAATTCTTATCCATACGGCAACGCCACGAGCATATCTTGCAGTTGTGGTTTGTAAATGTAGATACTAAGGGGAAATCAAGGCCGGTCCAAATTGGGGACATGTTTCTAATGAAGGACAACCTCCAATCTGGTCTACAACAAAATCTTGTTCGATTTAGAAATTGTCATTTAGGCAAAGACATCGAAGTTAAAAATTACACCGTATAGTTTGCTACATGCGTCACGGCGCGCAGCCTAAACACTCTACCTTCTCGAAAATATTTAACACCAATAAAATAAGTGAATACTAATATATACAATAACCGTGGAATGCTTTCATTATTGTTACATTTCAAAAAGAGAAACTGCATACAGCAGCTAAATGACGGGCTTCAGCATGGATTCTTCCCAATATTCTATGAGACTGTTGATAGTGTTCCAAATGCAGTCGACGGTGTACCGTAGGTGGGTCCATCTTGTCACACATAGAATAGCTGCAAAGTAATGTAAGCACCGTTTGCAACTCTTTCTCCTTCCGTGCTTTTAGAGAAGATGCACGAGTTATATATATTATACTCGTGGAATAATTGAAAACGTGATCTTTCAAACTATTAAATCTTCACATTACATATGTAAGTCCCAGTAATAATTTTAAATCAAGTTTATAACGATAGCAGCAGTAATCGTATAACTAAAACGGGAGTTATCGGAAACTAGTTCATTTTGGTTTCGAATTGACAGCAACTAAACAAAAAAAGTGAACAATACTCGCCGATGACTGCTACAGGTTCCCCGCTAAAATACTTCATCTGTTTTTAGTCTAATACAGTGGTGTTGGCATATTTATTTGATCGCCTGTAAGCGTCCAATTAAGAGACAACAATCTTAAAAAAAAATTATTAGAAAGAGGCCATCGATAATTTCTTAGTAGAGGATATTTCAACAAGAAGAAAAAATTAAAAGATTAGCTAAAAACTAAAAGGGCAGATAATAAGTAAGATCACTGCTACGGCGGCAACAAGATACGCGTTAGTGCAACTGAAGGTTTCGTTATAGGCTAGATGGCCCGGATTTGTGTAATTCACCTTTGATTGCACCGAAAGGGACAAAATGTATTAGTTTGCCGTCAAAAACAGTAACGTCCTGTCTGACTTACGCACGAGGAGATCACAAGGAGATTTGGATAATGCTGTGTGACGTTGGATTCACTAGGCGCTGAGGGACGCCAAATGCAGGACGCGGACATTCTACCAGACAATCGTGGCCAAATAGCATTATATAAAAAAAATTTTTTAAATATTTAAACGTACAGATGTTTGCGGATATATGAGCGCAAAGTAAGTGGCTATAAATAGTTCGTTTCTGGTAGCCAACAATGAAATTCTACCAGGATTCATGGTTAACTTCTTTTACTTAGATTAATTTAAAGGATATGTAAGGATGCATGTCATGTGAAATAGAGCACTATATTTTGAATACGGAATTAGCGATAGCAATGCGGTAGTAACATACTTTGGACAAGCATTATACACGATGCTGAAAATATGCAGGTAACGAAAATACCTGGCGTGTAAATGAGACTTGGGAGGGCGTGAAGCATGACCTTATGTCTGCTAGGTGGGTACTCTAACTCTCAAGTGTAGGTAGATTTGATGCCCGGCAACCAGTTTTCGCAATAAGCCCCTAACGCTCACACGAAGCTAGAATCCATCCTGCTGTTCCTTTAATTTCTGGTGAAGCCCTAAAAAATATTTTTTAGACAAACAGAAGATATTGATGTACATGAACAGAAGTCCAAACGTTTAGTTGTACCGTCCTAAGTAAATAAATATCGTATTCTGTTTTAATAAAATAAAAAATGATCATTACAAAAAGCATTTTGTATGGAAAAGCAAATAATAATATGGTAGCGTTTCAGTGACGTGTTTTTGTGTAATGTAACGTCTGGTTACAACGCAACATTATAGTACACGATGTTTTTGGACCAATTTTACCGTAACTATAAATCTGTCCTAAAGGTGATGAACGTGAATGTGTTTAAACGGTTTGCGCACTCGTATTTACGTAATTCCCTCAGCGTGCTGCAATAGTATTATCATGTCCACACCGAGTTATTGAGGTTGTTGAAACCGACACTCAGCGAGTTTAGTAGTATTATTATAGATCTGGTAAGTAGCTTATGACCTAACAATAGTATACTTTTAAAAAATGTTGATGCAAATATTAACATTAAAACAGCCTACTTAAATGTAGATTAGGACATCAAGCGCTGTACTATAGATCTTACCTAAAATCTGTAAATAATAGGGAAATTATTGTTTTGCTGGTGCATTGATAATTAATGAAATTTTTAAGCTCGTTTGACTTAAATAACATTCTGATAACATTCAGGTAAGTGGTAAATCCGGGCAGGCTCGAGTCTATAGAAATCATAACATTAAGCGTAAGCATCAAACGAGTTTCTTTTGCCGATTATAATAATGTTGATTTTCCTTGATCTTCAAACATTTGGAAGATTCATAGTTGAGTGGCATGGCTATAGGCGATAGACAGTGCGGTTATTTAATGACCGCGCAGGACCATGCAGTTATAATTATCTGAGTCGAGTGTCACAAAATTAAGAAATAGCTTATAGGTGTCGTACACTATGCAGACATAGATTAATTCGAAGAACTAGCAAAGAAACTAAATCGGATGTGGTAACGCAAGTTATTAATATACATAAGGGTAAAGTGTTAGTTAAATTTTAAGATATGAACGCTAGCATACGAAGCATAGAACGATAAGCATGAAGGTGCAGTAAAGCGTTCATATATTCAACAGAACATGAAGATTAGACCTCATCTTTAGCAATCTTAATAGATATAGAATTTTTCAGAGGTTCAAAAGGAGAGTTTCTTCATTTATTTATATATTTGGGATATATAATATTTATTATTATATTTAAATTTATATCCCAAATATCTAAATGTTATTAAATATAATATTTAGATATTTGAAATATAATCCCGAACGATAATCCCGAAAACCGTGTCTCATAAGCTGCGTACAAAAAATCCTAATTATGTGTTTTAAGAACACACAGAAATGCCATGAATATGTATAAAAATTGGTGATCAAGTGAGTGCCGTGTATATACGTTGTTGAAACGTACACGCACATATATACGTTGTTGAAACATACACGCACATATATATACGGTAAGCGGGACTTTCGAACTTTCATGTAAGGACTTTCCAACTAACTTCCATGTAAGGACTTTCCAACTAACTTCCATGTAAGGACTTTCCAACTAACTTTCATGTAAGGATATACTAGTATTATCTCAAATTCCCATATCTCAGCAGGTCGCACTCAAGAGACCAGCAGTTGAACTGCATACTTTATGATGTAGAGCCAAAAATATGCTGTACAACAGCGCCATCTGTTTTTATTTCTAAAATGGATGGGAGAAAGCAGTGGAAATTTAAGATTAGTATGTCCTGCCTTTTTTCAGCATTCAAAGCAGGGCTCGATGACACCATAACAGCTTTCCTTGATATCTAAACGCATCGTCTTTGACGGTATGCCGTCTTTCATTTTGCATATGCGGTATGAATTACATTTTCAGCTATTGACCCGTGAGACGTATGGAGACCTTTGCTTCCGCATCTTCACGTACGGCTGCGTTATCATGCTATGTTTCCTGACGCACAATCGTTTCTCTTTTACGTTCACGTCCTTGAAACGTGGCGACTGTGTCGCGCGACCTTGCTTGCAATAATTAAGCGTCCATGGTAGCGAGCTTGGCAACTTCTTGGATCATTCCAGTTTCACATTTTCGATTTCTGCCAGTACCTTTGCGCGATTCTAGAATCTACCTACTCAAACTCTAGCAAGAAGTAGCGGCATGAACTGGATCAAAGCGAGTACAATAGTCGACCGTCACAAAAACATAGAAAACACTCCTGCTTGCGTTTTAAGACCTCTCACAAATCTATCTCTTGGAGGTATATTTTGGCACAGGCATTGGATGAAACTTCGGTGAGGGAAAGTTCTGCTCTACTTGCGACTTCAGTCCTCAGGGAAAGTTTCGGGCCAGTGAGGGGCGATTTTTTTTATAAAACGAATGCTACAAACAACAAAGTTGCGGGTATCTTAGCGTTGTTTGTTCGACATCAGACATATCTTTATATACTCAGTTCTGATTATATTTACTTGAGGATTATTATAATATATATGCAATAAGTAATATGCCACAACTACGTCTACACATCGCGTTGAGTGAGTTTGCACGGCATCAAACAAAAAAGCATGTTAATATTAGGTTTGTACAAAATTTACATGCAGAGAGTAATTTCATAAACAAAAGTTTCCATCCTTTGACATACTTTAACATACTTGAACTTGATTATACTTGGCGCTCAACGAATAGTAATAATAGATTGCGAGTATTCTCTCTATCACACGTAAGGTTACATGTTCATGACGTCATGAGAACACAAAGACACACTCTAATAATGCTTGTAAGAAATCTACCTTCTTAGACGACGATACGCTTCCTCGTCTATATGGTGTTTTGTCATCTTGACACTCGCAGCATAGAAGTTGTTCTGGTGGCTGGCCCTATTCCAAAGATGTTTTATGACAAAATTAAATGGTGGAGAGTGCTGTTCCATACTCTTAATGGTACCTATCCCGCGCAGCTCCAGCAAAAAAAAGTTTACGGTTTGCCGGCGCAAGAAAGTAGTATTGGTAGCAACCAAAAGATTTCTCACGGGTGTATTAAGCGCATGAGCTGCATTGTAAGCCATTGAATACTAAACAAGCGAGAAAAAAATTACGCTCAAAGATACAAAGGATGTAAGAGCCAATGGAAGCAAAATTTCTGTTGAATTTGATGAGCAAGAAGCGGAATTCTAATCAAGCGTAGGATCAGTATAAAATCGTCAAGAAAAGTGGCTTCTACGTAAAACGCCGGATACAACAAAGCTAGAGAGGTAGGGCGCATCAAGTACGATGTAGTACTGAAAATCTGCAAGAGCATAAATTTACAGTAAGTAGATTATGTGAACAGGTTATGCACGGAAATAGTGTGCTAAATTTTAAAACTTTTATACACTGGACTACTGACTATGCAGTCAGATCGGGAAGCACTTACAAATAAGTGAGCAATGAAATTATCCTATTGTTCACAATAAGGAAGTCGATTAACAACGTTGAGTACAGGGGTAGTAGAGAAGGAAACGTAAATGAAAATATTTCAGCGGTCGTACGAGTAGTAAGTACAATGTAGTTATCTAGCTTATGTATTTGGTCAAGCCATGTCTAAATACTATAATTTCAACAGAAGCGTAAGTACAATAGTCAATGAGTATTTGTATTGGTCGCTAATAGCCAAATTAAAGGATAAGAAGGGCAACAGACTGCGTCAATGAAAACCGGAGGGAGCGAAAATCGCAAGAAATTCGGTAATTACGAAATCTAAATTACTATTTTAAAATCTTTTCTTTGTTGTTACACTCTATACTTAATTCTAAATTACCATATTTTTCGTATTTAAAATAATAAACAACTTGGTGTAATATTATAGTTAAGGTTAAAACTCGGCGAACGGGAAAAAAACTGTTAGGGTAGACTGTATGTAGCAGTGTACCAGTACTACGACTTCAAAATAGGGGTTCAAACGTATTTTCTTTATAAGACCTTAAAGGTCATCTACGACGTCTATTACCTTTTGTGACATACACCTTTGCTAATTCGTAATTGAATACACTTTTTTGCATGTTGAAAATTAAGACCATTAATAACACTATTATTTATAAGTGTACAGATATAGAAATAAAAGGCAACTTTAACAATCGTGTCATTTGTTGCTACTGTTGGTCGTGTGTCACTACAATATGGAGCGCAGTACCTTTGTTGCGCATAGCTCTCAATCACGGTTTTCATTTTCTCAGCATCCCAAAAACGTTAAACTTCAAATCGATAGAAAGTGCAAGCAAACCGAAAAAATAAACTGCCAAGCTATTCTATAAAAGCAATATGGCAGAAGATGAGTAGACATGAACTTTGTGTCTAGAGTCAGTGGTATGGCAAATACGGGAAGTTCGAGAAAAAATAAATCTGTTGCAATTTCTCACTTTCCTTTTTCAGAGGATCTTGTTTTCTTTTCAACTATTGAGACGCACGATTAAACTTGTGCTAGGTAATGAGGCCTCTTTCCTAGGCAGTTGTTATGGGTAGTGCCTCCTCTATAGACAACCAAAGAACATCACGATGCAGCTAAATTTGCAGTACAGGGTATTACAGCAAGCATTGCTGAAAACTCTTTTTAGGTGTTCTTTTTTTTTTTACAGGACGTTAGACAACAGAGAAGAACAGAGAGTCGAGGCCAATAAACGCCATGTGGGAGTTATTATTAACAAACTTTAGTTACAGGAATCAAGAAATAATTTTGTCGCTTCACGTTTCACCTCTAGATTGTGCTCTATACTTTTGTACCAAGATATTTACCTGCGTTCTTTTAAGCGCCACTACACTAATAGGATTGGAAATGCATACTGGAACTTTCAGTGAGTTTTTTACGTACATCTCGGTTAAAATCTACTTTTATGCTCCAGATAGTCTGGCACAGTGAAGAAACCAGCTATAATTTAAAATCCTAAACGCTAGGCCAAACTTCTAGATGCAGAAAAAAGTTCTATATAATATATTTAATTTAGATTGTAAAAATACCCTCATAGTACTGCTTGTTCCGTCAGTTATAGACACAAGATTACCTCTAGAAAATTTAGCAGTAAAAATGGGTCTTACGTTTCTACGCATGTAAATTTCTTTGCTTTTACTTGATTCTAATAGGTTTTTCACAACTGCTAATATTGGCAGATATTTGAGTCCATTTTTCGTTTGAGGTGCGTGATTTCCGCAAAAGAATCTCTCAAATATTCTGTAATTGCTTCATCCACCGCCACTAATAAGTTCTTACCTTTCTTAGATATCAGCAAAACTTGTTGTAAACGTGAAATCGTTAGGTTTTCGATGTCTCCCAGAGCTCCTATGTTATCTTTAAGTATAAGACCGATCTCAAATCTAAAGCATTTTTTACGTTTTATCGAACCTCCGAACTGTTCGGATTATTCGGAATTCCTGTTTGTATTTATATTTTATGTGTAGTAAACTATAATATTTATTCTGCTACACTGTTTAGCACCCAGAAGAAGCAAGTAGTACTGCCGTCATATGAATCAGGATGCTTAAAGGCCGGGGATTCGAACCAATGTTTCAGTATTCGTTATATGGCATATGCGTTACACTATATGCAAAATAAAACTACTTTGTTTTAAACACGGCTTTGTCAGTCAGGCTAACCATCTTAACGTTCAAGCAATAATTCCAATAGTCAAGTGTTTCCCCATTATACATGTGCTCGCCCTTTCTTATGTCATGTAATCGCCTTCATGAGGGCTAAGACCACGGAGTGCCATATAACGCCATGTTGAAGCAACGATTAGCAATGAAAACTGATAGGGCCTAATTGACATAGCACTGGGATAGTACTTCCGCTCAATTTTGAATCTTACGTTGTCTATTTTTTTTTTTTAGGGCATTCAGTTCACTGTATTTCATTTTCATGTTAGTGCCATAAAGATAGCTTTACTCTTTGAAACCTAGTAATACTTCAGTGTAGCTAATGACATGCTTAGCTAATCCCAATGACGTAAGTGTTGGTATAGCGGACTGCACATAACTTTGCAACGGCGTGATAGCTTTAGCGGCTAGACCAGTGGCCACATCGAGCTACGTATAACTTTCACTAAAGTCCCACGACTTTCGGTTTGTGGATTTCTACATAATATTTGCTTAATTTTTTAAGAGTACTAGTTTAGTAAATTTTAGTTTTAGGTTTAGTAAAAAAGGCATCCAGACAGCTCTGCAAACATTCAAATACGTTTCCGGTAAATTTAGTTTAATCCCATTAAGAAGTCAAATGCTTACCAATGCCTACACTACGGTATTTTATCGTGTATTATTTAGCAGAGGTCGAGCTCTAGGTGTCAACACATCATCACTCTAAGCCATTGGCTTTATTAGGTACAAGCAAATGCTTATTATGAATTTTGACCATTTTCTATGGGGGAACTGCGATATGGTAGTTGTGGAAATATGACTGTTACCAGACAGTCAAATTACATGTGAGCACACATGCGTAAGGCAACAACAGTCAACAAGGGTAAGCCATTGAGGGCCACGTCTGTATATCAGTTGCACCGCAACTTTCCTATCGTTCACATCATAGTATGTTAACCTGGTGCAGTCGATAAGACGGAGCTTCCATCTTCCTAGAGTACCCGTCGGTCGACTCATCATGAAAGGAAATGAAAGCAGCGCAGAATAATGATTATTGAAAAGAATATACAGAGAAGATAGAATCGCAAACGGGAGCATTTGAACAGTGATCAATGAGGGTGAACATCTTTTGTGAGCGGTGATAGAGCTCACCCCACTGGGAGAAAAACTCTATACATCATATAAAACCCTTATTGAGGCTTTATCTCTGCGATACACATGCTATTAAAATATACTTTTTCGCAGGTATATCTTTTAACCAGTCAACCAGGGTGATTCCGAAATAGCAAAAGGGTTTCGAAAACGAAAGGATCAGCAGGTAAAGAAATGTGCTTTTGAGAATCACGAAACGACTGTGCAAACTAATACATGGCTAACATGGCAAACTAATATATAATAATATGGACGAGAAGGCGAGAAGGAAGAATAAGGCGAGCTCATCATAAGAAGCTGACCATGAAGGTCTTAATGCAGATCCTGAAATATATATGAACAACAAAGGAGGCGAAATCTCCAACAAGTCGTGGTTGTACAGATGACCGAAGCACGAAAAAAAGCAAAACAAACGCGCGAATTTCAAGGTAAAAACAACGCAAAAGTTACGGACGTAAACATGCTGTAAATGAATGTCGAGCATAGAACCAAATATACAACATATGCAATAGGAGAAGCCGCCACACGTGCGGTTCAGGACAGAACAATGATAATGTCAATACTGTACAAAAAAGCTAGTCGAAAGGGTAGCAAGGGTTTAGTTCTGATTCAGAAAGCGATTAAGAGAAGCTTTGAAAGATTTTAAATAGCCAGTAGTGTGGTACAGTCATTGCTATCAGCAAATACATGCCTTGAGTCAAAGCTAATTAAATTTTTGAGTGAAGTAACAAGCATAAACAGGGTAGTACAACAAGACAAACGTCGGCTGAAGATACTCGTAGACTAGCAGGAGGATTATTTTCGAAGGCCTAGGTGTTACAGCGAGTTAACTACGTTAAGGGCGGAACAAAGCCTGTGCAGCGGACACTTTGCACCCTGCCACGAGTATTTATATAGGCCGTAGTGAATCGTGTAAAAGATCCAGAATGCCAAAGAATCATTTAGAAGCTAGAATGGGGGTTCAATCTCGCAGCTATTCACTGCCTGAACGTAAATTATAAATTATTTAAAACTTGAATGTACTCAGTTAAGTCATTCAGAAGCCGATAGGTGTCTTACGTTACGATATCGTGCATCGTC